GGGCTTCTGGAGCTCGACGCTTCCAGCGTCCTCGACATTAGGTCCATGGGTGGCAATATCCTTGGTGATCCTCAAAACTAGACGAGAGTGGTAGAGCCTTGATTCAATGGCCACGACGGCGTCGGTACCGTGAGCAGGGAGATGGTGGTTCGAAAAGACGGAGCCAAGCAATGAGATCAGTCGCCGGTTCCAAGCGAGACAGTACGGCATGGTCGCGTACACATCATCAAACAACGCGCCGGCGCGCGTTAAACACAGCTGGCGACGCGTCTAAACGCACGTAGCTCGTTGTGCTAACTGGTGCCGTGCGGCTTCTCTCCTCTCGGTCGCTCACACCTCGTAGTTAGATGAGACGCGTGTTTACAACCCCGAAAGAGGCCTTTGAACAGGACTCGCTGTGCTGTGTATCGCTCTAGATCTGCTTAACTCCCCCGCGACGAGATTCGAAAAACATCTTTGATTGTCCTCTTTGAAGTTGGCCAAAGATATGTCCTGCACTGACCTTTTATTTTCTCGGCTGCACGCAATTTACGCTTTAACGCGACTTAGCTTCAAGGTCTCTTCGACGAATGGCGCTATGGTGAATCAACTTTGATACGCCCGCATTATCCACACACAAATTACCCTCTATCTGCAACAGTTCCGACTGCATCCGCTCCAGAAGATGCCAGCGCGCCTATCCGCTTAGGCTCATATAATAGCCCCGACGAGGCAACAGCTTATGTGCTGAATGCTTTCAGATAGTCATACTACCACAGCTGAGCGCTTCTACGCCAAATAAAGGTTCCGCAACTGCGACAGTTTGACGATCTGAAATTAGAGCGTGAGAACAGAACAATCCAATCACAGAGCGCTAACGCCACAAAGCCTTCAATAAGCGCTTGCACGTTGCTCGCTGACGTTCATCACGAAGGCTCTCGTCTCCGCCATGAGCGCCGCGTTGGACCTCATTCTGTTGGGTGCAAGCTGGTTACACGTACTCCTTGCTCCATATACAAAGGTGGAGGAAAGCTTCAATCTCCATGCTACCCACGACGTCCTATTTTATGGCGTCAGCCCCGCCGCACTGTCTAAGGTACGTGCAATCGTATGAGAATGATGTCTGTACTTATCAAAGGTCCAGTATGACCACTTTATTTTCCCCGGAGCAGTGCCCAGGACTTTCATAGGAAGCGTTCTTCTTGCCTGGATATCCGCGCCAGCAATTCACCTCGCTCACTGGTTTGGACTCTTGTCCTCCAAGGCGGATATCCAAGTTGTAGGTATGAGACTCTGGGTGTTGATTTTGACCTAGCTAACACTCATGCAGTGCGACTTGTACTTGCCACATGCAATACTTTCGGCTTCTCCTACCTGAGGCGAAGTGTCTCTCACCGCTATGGCGGAATAGCAGGCGTCATGTTCGTCCTTTTGACCATAACCCAGTTTCACATCCCATTCTGGATGGGACGAACACTCCCAAATATGTTCGCTCTCCTCCCAGGTAGGTGATCATGCTTGCTACTGTCGTCAGTGCTTGCTCTGATACTATGGTCGCTATAGTGAATATCGCTTTGTGTAAACTTTGGGATCGCGCGCCGAATGCCACTCGGCCGACGGCGCGCGGCATCGACATCTCGATCGTGCTCCTGGTGTTTGCCTCTGTCATCTTTCGTGCTGAGGTTGCTGTGCTCCTGGCTGCCGTTGTTTTGCAAGCGCTCTGGTCTCGTAGGACCTCATTGCTCCGTGTTATCAAAGTCGGCCTCATCAGCTCGTTCGTTTCCATAGGTTTGGTTTGTTTTCACCAGTCTCCGTCAGATGGCTGATTACTACCTCAACTCAGGACTCACTGTGGTTATTGATACGTATTTCTGGCGACAGCGCCCTATTTGGCCTGAGCTGTATGGAGTTTATTTCAACGTCGTTCAGGGCAAGAGCGCAGAATGGGGTGTAAGATATCTAGGTTTAAAATGCGGGTATGTGCCTGACTAGATTTTCTTGTCCTCTAGGTCTCGCCGTTTCACACGTACTTCGCAATTCACCTTCCCAAGCTACTCCTAACGTCCATCTTACTGGCAGCATTTGGTGCCCTTATCGACGGCCGAGTTCGCACCCTGCTATTCCCTTCTGTCATGTTCGTCTTCATACTCAGTTTCCTTGGACACAAAGAATGGCGGTTCTTAGTCTACGTGGTACCAATCTTCAACGTAGCAGCTGCGAGAGGAGCTACTTATTTGTGTGTACCTTCAATATCTCCTCCGCCTGACTGAGACTTATGTTGACTGTAGAGCCACTCGGAAGAAGAGCAGCTTGATTGGAAGATTGGCATTCCTCGTTGTTGTGGGCTGCTTGTCCGCCAATCTGCTTGCGACAGTTATCTTTTCACGGTCGTCGATGGATAATTACCCGGGCGGTGAAGCTCTGGCCCGATTCAACGAGATTTATGCCGGACAACCTAACTGTACGTCGCAAGGACTTGTCACTGGAATATGTCTAACGTACGATTCCATGCAGTGCATGTTCACATCTCGAATCTCGCAGCCCAGACAGGTGCATCCCTTTTCCAACAAGTTAATTCTCCTCCATACATGACTGTGCTTGGCATCGACTCTCGTGACCCTGCGACACCATGGGTATACAACAAGACTGAAGATGTTACGCCCGAGCAACTGACTGCTGACAGGAAGATCACACATGCCATCGCGGAGGTTGAGCCCATGGATGTTGTCAGTTCACTGGAGGCTGCTGGGTTCCTGAAGGGTTCCTGGAAGCCAACAGACGTTGTCACTTCTTTCGACAGGCTGGCCTTCGACGTACAGGCCTTCAAGGCAGATTACACGAAGCCGTGGCGAGTCCTGAACTTCGTCGAGAGCGAGAAGTTGGCCATCTTAGAGAGGAGGTGACGCAGAGATAGATTCGGTATCTAAACCTACAAGGGTGCTGTATGGACTAGTTGCTTTATATTATCTTACCTCACTGGGGCAGCCTGCTCCTTCTTCGGCCTGCTCCCAAAAATGCTAGTGCCGACACGTACGACGTCGCTTCCGGCCCTGAGTGCCGCTTCAAAATCGCTTGACATGCCCATGCTCAGCATCAGCCGCCCTGCAACGCCCCATCGCCCACCGTCGCTCGGGAACTCTTTGGCAAGCTCCGCCTGCAAGAGGTCCCGTGTCTGAACGAGCCTTTCAAAGTCTTCGTTTGGCTTCTCCGCGGATGCGAGCGACTCGGTGAGCGAGCCGATGGTCATGAGACCTTGCAAATGCAGCCGCGGGCACTCGGCGATGATGAACTTCGCGAGTTGAGTGAGCTCTGTGGATGCGTTGGCTGTGGCGGGGTTAAGCGGGAGGACGCCGGACTTGTTGTCTTCACCAGAGGTATTGACCTGGAGGAGGACGTTGAGGGGAGGGCGGTTCTCAGAGATGTACTTGTTCAGGCCTGAGGCGCTCTTGGTCGACGTCACTGTCTGGACGGCGTACAGATTGGGTATCGCTGCGAAACAGAATATCTCAGCTATCAATATGGCATATATAATTGCGCACATGGGCCGCTCACAGGCAAGAGCCTTGGCCTTGTTAGACTGAAAGGTTCCGATGAAGTGCCATCGGATGTCTGAGAGAGCTAGCTGAGGGAGATCTAGATGGGTATTGTCCAGGCAAGTCGAAAATGCATACACATACCTGAGCAGCTTTATCCTCAAGCTCTTGCACATAGTTCTCCCCAAAATCCCTCTGACCCTCCTCATAGCATGCCAAGATGTCCGACGCAGGCTTCAGCTTCGACACTGCAACGAGCGTAGCAGCTTGGGCGACTCGTTCATGAGTAGCACCTTGAGCCTGTGCTGCTGTCACCCGGGCACGAACCTCATTCAAATATTCATGAAGTTCGGCAAGACGCTCAGCGGATGGTAGCCGGACAGTTGTAGACGACATTTTAATGCTATGTCCAGAGAACAAGCGAAGCGACGGCCTCATTACCTTGCTTGTTAAGGTTCCTCGGACTACGACAATTTACTCCCGAACTTGTCGGAGCTTGCCGAAGTCGCGTGATGCTGACTTTCCATAGCAGTCGCCGCAGGACCCCAGCAGGTCGTACGTGTGCGCGTGAACTCGCCCTACTGTACTTGCTGCGCCTGCTTTGTCTTCCTGCATATACTGACATGTAGCTGTCGACAGGGATTCATATCTTCCTTGTCCATTTTTTTCCACCTTACTTTTCTCGTCCTACTCCGTCAGCCTGTCATCGATGTCATCCTTCACTGGAAGATGAGCGGGTAGTCAGAGCAGCTTGTATGACTCGCATTCCACGGCGATTCACGTGTCTCCTTCCGTCGCACTACGTGCAAGGCTTCCATCGTGTGGTAGTCAGATACTCATCCTGTCTGCAAGCTCAGGAGCAACCGTTCTTACAAGATAATACGTTCTCACTAGTCTTCCTAGCTCAGGCAAGTCGAAGATCCCATTCAATCTTGCAGGAGCTTAATTTCTGCCCTTTACCGCAGGAAATACTTGGCCTTTGTCGGAGCTCCTTGCCACAAGGTCCACAGGGCAGCCTATATTACTCCACACGGGACAACGCACCTGTACTGGTGCTTGCCTCTTCCTCATAATCCTCTCACCCGCCAAGACAACCTGCAGACGGAAGACAGCGACAAGACCCCGCCAGGCCTAATTTTTCGCTCTGCACACGCCGTCACCCTACACTGGCCCACGCGACGTCAACACAATCAAAGCGCAAGTGAGGAAAGCCCGCCTGGGCTTATGTTCCATGCCGAGTCCTTGTACGATCCTACGCGGCCATCTGTATTTTATGCCGAGGGGGTAATGGAGAGCGGGCGGGTGACGGGCATTGATCCGGCCTCCCACTCAGCGAGTTGAGGATTACCACGCGACGATGAGCAGAATGAGGGCGATGGTACCGCATTTTCGCGTGTTCACGATACCAGAGGCGCACGTCAAAGGCACGAGACAGAATACGAGATAGCCCCTCAGGCCTCAGGCACAGACGGAGGACATGGGGCTGGAGCACGACGCGTTCGAGATTCAGTACGGTCATCCTGAGCGCGACAACGAGCGTGTTCTGGCGCACGATGCAGCTCCCTGGGGCCCAGATCCTCTTCCCGATCCCGCAACCATTTATATTCGAGCCCTCCAAATGAGAGACTGCCGAGTGTTCACTGATCCCAGATTTTCGGGTGCGCTCTGCACTCGCGACCTGCTCCTTGTCCACTTCCTCACCCGTTCGCTCACGGCCACACAATTCGTAGACGCTCCCTACTCTCTTGCTTGCACTGCCCAACCTTGTTCAACTTGGAAGGCTCGCGACCGCAGGACCGCAGCATGCCGCCGGTACTGAACATGTACTGCCCACCGAGGACATGGCGGCTTTCCGGGAAGGTTTGTGCGCGTTGGTCGCCAAACGTAGGACCTCTGAAGTTCGCATCGACGTCTTTCACGCATCGATTTGGTAGCTCGTACATTCCATCTCGCGCATCGATGTTACACAGTACAGGATTCCATTCGAAATAAGTACGCATATCTAGAAGACAATACATAGTTTTGGTTCAGCGCCGCCTGAACTGCTTTATGCGAAGACGCCAAGGCCAGGGTGGATGTCCTGGGGATCGTTAAGCTGCAGAGGTGTGTTAGCGTCGGATTGCGCAAGTAACGAAAGCGCAAACTTACGCGAAGGTTGATGTTGAGGCCGTCAATCTGCTGCACCTGCTCGGGAGTGAGGTCGAAGGAGGTGACCTCGAGGTTGCTGACTAGGCGTTCGTGGCTGTTAGACTTGGGGATGACAGCTATATCCTGCTGGACGGCCCAGCGGAGGATCACCTGAGCTGGAGTCTTCCCGGAGGCTTGCGCAATCGAGGTGACAACATCGTGCTTGAGCAAGCTGGGATGGCCAGTGTCAACTCCGAGCTCATAGTAGCCCTGCGGACCAAGAGAAGAGTAGGCAGTAACGGCGACGCCAAGCTCCTTGCAGAGAGCGACAAGCTTC